CTGGTGAACTTGAGACTCAAAGAGTTTGAACTACTTGTCCCAGATCATACAGCTTGTACAGTGCACTGAATAAATGGATGTGGTGTTGTTGCCTCTCACTTAAGCATCTTAGAACTTAATGACTAGCCCAGGGAACATTCGGATGAGACCTAAAAGAAATATATCAAAGGGGCTCCAGATGGCCCCTTTCACTCATTCACTCATTCACTCATTCACTCATTCACTCACTCACTCACTCACTCACTCATTCATTCAGCACAATATAAGTCAAGGCACTGATATTTTTTTAAATTTCATTCCTTCTAGAACCACCTGCACTGGTTCTATGACCTTAAGGTTTTTATGACCCGAAGGCAGTAGCACTAACCCAGGGCCATTTTGCCTCTCGGGGGCCATTTGGTAGTGTCTGGGAAAGTTTTTGTCAAAGCTGGGGGACAGGGAGCGTTACTGGCACCTAGTAGATAGAGGTCAGGGATACTGCCAAACATTCTACAAAGCACAGGAGAGCCGCCCCCCCCCCGCCGCCCCCCAAGAATTATCCAGCCTAAAATATCAGTGGAACTGAGGCTGAGAAACTCGGCCTTAAGGGGCTAGGATACTTTCAAACTGGCTCAGGCCCCAGGACCATGGAGTGTGCGGGCCGTCTCACACAGGAGTGACGTGCATTTGTTTTTTGCTTTTGGATCTGTAGTGAGCCAATTCCAGTGTCACCTCCCCAGAAGTCCTCTGAACACCCTCGCCGAGTGCTCTACACCCCAGTCTGAGTGCTCTTTCTGGCTCCTTAGCACCCAGAGCCACATGGGAGCATGCTTCTCCCCACCCTGAGCATGCTCCTTCCGCACAGGAATCTAAGCTCCTTAGGGCCAGTGATATATACAGGGTGAGCAAAAGTAGGTTTACAGCTGTATGTGAAGCAGAGTTTATTCTTGTATTATTGTATATTAATTACTGTATTCTTTGTGAAACAGTGTATTCTTGTGTTGTTGTTTATTATTATATTCTTTACCATATAAACAACTGTAAACCTACTTTGCCCCACCCTACTTTACACACACACACACACACACACACACACACATATATACATGTTTTAATTTATATTATTACTGCCTAGCAAAGTGTCTGCCACAAGGTAATGTTTAATAAAAATTCATTCAAAAATGAATGAACCATCATATATGAGTAACAACACTACCTTATATTTTTATGGTGCTTTATAATTTCTAAATTAAACCTGCATATTTTATTTCTTAGTTTTCAACACAATCCATTTTTCAGATGAGGAAACGGTCAGAGACAAGGTGACATAGTTTCCCAATGGAAACTATGGGAACACCTAATACACAGCTGGGAAGCGTCACTGTCTTGATTTGAAGTGCTTTTCTGGCAGTAAGTCTGCCATTCTTTCTACTTATCCTCCTTGTGGGGGTAAACATGGAGCTTTGCAATGGAAGGCACAGGGCAAAACAGGATCCTGGGAACTTCCTGAAGAGGAAGGAGGTCTCACATGGTGTCACCAAATGAAATGAAGATGTGCTGGAAGAAACACACTTAGGGCTTTTGTTTAAGGTTTGAGGAGTAGCAAGATTGTGTTAGGTTTTAAAATTAAGCTTTGATTTTCAGATTTGTAGTGAGTATGGATATGTCAGTCATTTCTATCATTATGTCAAGCTGGCTTCCTCCTTTTTAATTCTTATCTAGATCTTTTTTATTAACTTAAAAGAACTGTTCGCATTTAGAATTACAAAGGTATTTAGTAGAAGGCTTGAGTTGATATGTAAAAGAGAGAGCAATTCTGCATTGGTGTGTGGCCTCACCACCTTGCCCCCTTGAAGAAGACAGCTGCATTCCAGGGATGTGAAGTCACCTTCTGCCTACTTCTGCTCTGGACTGGAAGTCACCTGATCCACGCACACCCTCATCCCCATGGTAACTGATTTGCATTCAGGAGGCCCTGGTAGGCACCAATGACCCCGAGAGTAGCTTCCTTCCCATCCCTGGAATTACAGCCCAGGCCTTCTTGGCTGACTGGCATTTCCCTGATGCTCTTTAGAGCAACATGGAAGACTAGTGAGTGGGAAATTTGTGAAGACTGTCCTTCCCCCCTAAAACAAACAAACATTGGTCTGTCTTTTATGCTGGCACACATGGTAAATAGGAGCCCCCAGAGGGTTGTTTATTTGCCACTGTCCTGAATCTGTGTCCTCAATATGCTTCTTTACTCTGGTGACACAAGGTGAGGAACTAGATCGTGGTCCTCCAAGCTGAAGTTCTACAAGCCCCCAGGTAAGAATAGCACCCATCCTGATCCTTCCCCCTAGTCAGGTGTGTAATGCCCATTCACAGATGCAATACAGATTCAGACAAGTTCAGTGATTGGCCCAGTGCTGCCCAGCCAATGACAACGCCAGGGTCTTTCCACACGTTAGCTAAGATTCTTGTATATTATTGGATGAGAAGTATATCAAAAGCAAAACAAAAACTTGTAGGGTGTGAGTTTTCTTTAAAATAAATGAGGTGGGTCAAAAGTAACCAGAATCAACATAAACTTGAACTTTAAGACATAGCCAATTTTTGAATAAGAGTAACAAAACTTATTGTAAGAAGATTAGTAGTAGTGTCTTGTTAAAAAAAATCTAGTTTATATTATTTGATAAATACTATGGGAACACCAGAAATAAAAAACAGCCATACTCCCATTATGATAATAAACTTTAAAATTTCCATATTTCATCTCAGAGTTTGTTTACATGCGTAGGAGAGTTTTATATAATCAACACCCTAGTGTATTATTTCATTCCGATTCTGCTCTTTTACTGATTATATTAAAAATATAATGTCATATTGATTTATTGTAATTTTTTACATGATTGTGTAATGCTCTATCAAGTTAAGATTTCAAAGATTGTTTCAACATTTCTTTTTTGCTTGTATTGTTAGTTTGCTTTCTCTCAGTAATATAAACAACACTCCAAGGAGCTGCTTTAAGCATATAACTTCATTCTTTTATAAATAAAAATTTATAGTTGATACTTGAAATATGTGAGATTTGTATTTGTGTGTATATTTAATGTTAGTTCATTGCTGGAAAATTAATTTTAGAGAAGAAGAAAATAAATGTTACTGTGTCATTGCAACACTTAGAATAATTGCTGTTAAACTTCTGGTTTTTAAAGAAGCATGTTCATGACATAATTATTGGGAGTTATATATATGTATGCTTTAATGATACTAAATGGAAAATTAGAAAAATAACAAATTAAATCCAAAGCAAGCAGAAAAATATAAATAATAAGAATCAGAGCAGAAATCAATGAAATTGAAAACAGAAAGTCAAGAGAGAAAATCAATGTAACCAAAAACTGGTTCTTTGAAAAGATCCATAATATCAGTAAGCCTCTAGCCAAACTACTAAGAAAAACAGAGAGAGAACACAAGTTATTAATACCAGAAATGAAAGAGGGGACATCAGAACAGATCCCATGGACACTAAAAGGATAATAAAGAAATACTATGGACAGCTCTATGCCACAAATTAGATAACCCAGATGAAATGGACCAATTTCTTGAAAGACACAATTTCCCAGTACTCACATAAGAGAAAACAGACAATCTAAATAGGCCTATATATCTGCTAAAGAAATTCAATCGATAAGTAACAACTCAACAAAGCAGAAATCATCAGGCCCAGATGGGTCACCTGGTGAATTCAACAAAACATTTAAGGAATGTGGTTTTCTTTTCTTACAATGTCTGTCTGGGTTTGATGTTTGGGTAATGCTGGCCACATAGAATGAGTTAAGCATGACCTCTGCTTCTATCCTCTGAGAGAGATTGTCTGATGAGTAGAATTCAACAGGGAACCCATTCGGGCCTGATGAGCTCTGTTTCTGAAGGTTATTAATTACTGGGAAAACCAGGAAGAGGAGAGCGGAACAAAAAGAAATATTTGAAGCAATAATGACTGAGCATTTCCCCAAATTAATGCTAGTCACCAAACCACAGATCCAGGAAGCCTAGAGAACACCAAGAAGAAAAACTGCCACATCATACTCACTCACACTGTGGAACATCAAAGATAAAGAAAAAATCAAGAAAGAAGCCAGAGGAAAGAAATGCCTCATCTATAGAGGAGTGCAGATAAGAATTACACTGGACTTCTCAGAAACCATGCAAGCAAGAAGCAAGAAACCTGACCTCTTCACACCTCCATTAGCTCGCCCGTAAAACAAGTCTTGCAAGTCCTCTCTCTTCTGTCGAATACTAAGTGCTCAATGGGGGTCACAAACATTTGAAAGCATCTGTTAGGGGTCAGGGAGTGCATGTAATGGCATAGGAGGAAATATATTTACCTCCCATTAATCTTAAATATACGACTCCTCCTACATACACATCAGGAATTGAATAGATTTGTGGGTATCCTGGCCACTCAACCCCCATGAATCATGTATCTTGTTGGAGGAAACGCATTCAGAATTTCCCCAGGAATTAGCTGTTCAACTACACCCCTACTGGTCTAGTGCTTTCTTCATGCTGTGGGAAGGTTTAGAGAAGAGGTGGAAAGAAGAGCAGCCGCTAATGTCCCTGGTCCCATGCCATGCACGTGGCCTATGTTATCTCATTAGTCTCCAAACAACCCGATGCGATGCGGTAGATAGTCTCATCTCCATTTCACAAGGGTGATAGGACTCAGGGAGGTTCAGTCATTCGCTGATGATCACCAAGTCACTAGAGATTAAAGATGGGATTGCACACCAATCTGCCTCATGGAAAACTTGGCTCCGAAGGAAAGGCAGCAGGGCCTCCTGGCCTGCACTCTGTGGGTCAGGAGAGGGCCCCTGTGTCAATGTCTCTGAATGAGACCGACTGGCCCTTGGACTTGATCCAGGATGGGGAGTAAATGTTTCTAATCTCTTAAATTGAAAATAGCCTGTGGATCCCAAGAAATTGCATACTGTTGCTTGTGCCCTTCTCTTAAAGAAGAGGACAGGAGGCCTCCGGACTGTGAATGTGGACATGCTTTATTCTAATTAATGATCTGCAGCCCCGGTTGAGGTGTGGGGATGGGGACGAGCACCCCGAGCTGCACACAAGCTGCCCCCGCCTCTGGGGTGACACTTGGATCAGTTGGAGGCACTCAAAATGAGGGGCAGGCGTCTTTTCATACTTCTGTAGAAAGAGGGGCGATCTCATGTCACTCCCTGACACACGAAACTGAAAAGGCTCCTGAAGGTGGAAGGCAGGTCTCGCTCAGTCTCTCTGGTTTTGTTTTCCTCTACCTCTTTCTGTCACTCTTTGGTCTGAATGGGTCGTGTGAGCTTCCCGAGAAACCAGAAAGTTCTTCAAGCATCCAGAATGACTGGAACAAAAACAAATTGCATAAGGACAATTTGGTACTTCTTCTTTCTTGGGCTAGTCACAGCTGTCTTTGATTGCTGATTTGATTGTCTGGCAAACTACACTGTCTAATGACTGTGAAGCCAGCATAACTGATGGTAAGGTCAGTGCAGATACACATTGCAAATTCTGTTTTCTCCACTACACCCCTGGCATCTAGCACAGTTCACTTGCTCATGCTGTCAGTGTGTATTCATGGGGCGACTCTCATCTGCATGTCACTGTGGTCGGTGTTGGAGGTACAAAGAAAAATAGGCAAAGGACTTGTATGCATGCATATAAGCATAACCAATGGACATAAGATAATGGGGGTTAGGGGAAGCTAGGGGACTGTCAAGGGCGGGGGGGGGAGGGGGAAGGACACATATGTAATACCCTTTGTAATACTTTAAGCAATAAAAAAGAAAAGAAAAGAAAAATAGGATGTGGTCTCAGCCCTACTAAGTCTATAGTCTAGTACAGCGGTTCTCAACCTGTGGGTCGCGACCCCCTTGGAGGTCAAACGACCCTTTACAGGGGTCGCCTAAGACCATCCTGCATATCAGATATTTACATGACGATTCATAACAGTAGCAACATTACAGTTATGAAGTAGCAACGAAAATCATTTAATGGTTGGGTCACAACATGAGGAACTGTATTTAAAGGGCCAGAAGGTTGAGAACCACTGGTCTAGTAGGTGATGCACATGCACACACAGGTGTCTCCAAAGAGGGGACAAATACGTTGCAGAGACAATGAGGAGATGGTGGGAGGAGAGAGGAGACCACTAGGAGGTGTCACCGCTGTGCTGTCTCTTCTCACCAGGCGGAGAAGAAAGGGCAGGGCATTCGGAGGATGGAATGCATGAGTGGGCGAGATAAAAGATGAATCTGGAAACCTAGACTGGACCACATTGTCAATGGTCTTATATATGCCACTAAGGAGTTGAGGCTTTTGCAAACAGGCAAAGAAAGGCCAGTAAGGACACCAAACCTCAGCACTATAACTGTAAAGGCCGAATTCTGCCAATAACCTGAATGAGTAAGGAAAGGGAACCACCCCGAGAGCCCCCTAAAAGGAATGTAGTCCTGCCAATGACCTTGACATTATCCCCTGCTTCCCAGGTTAGACTTCTGACCTGCAGAACTGTAAGATAGTCCATTTGTGTTGTTTTAAGGCACTAAGATTTGGGCAATTGTTTGTGGCAGCAACAGAAAACGAATACAGGGCCCAGAGTAGGCCAGCTTCTTTCCTTCCGTCCATGGCCTATTCTGCAGATGCCTGTGGCTCCTATGGGTCTATTATTGGGGTTCTCTTCTTCCCCTCCCATATTTTCCGTCTAAGGTAGACTTAGGGCCTAAATATAATTTCAAGGGGAAAGAAAAAGCTTAAAGCAAAGGTTGCAAGTTTCGTTGAACCTGCTTAATATTACAAAATTTTAAACTTTCTCGTTCTTTCTTTTCCCCTTTTCATTCTCTCCCTCCATCCTTTCCTCCTTCCTCCTTTCTTTTCTTTTCCTTCCTTCTTTCACCCCCCTTCCTACCTCCCTCTGCCTCTTCTTCCCTTGCTCTCTTCCTCCCTTCCTTTTTCTTTCTAAGTAAGCAGCTCTGGCAACTGTGGCTTGGCTGGCTGGCTGGCTGGAGCTGTCACTGTCCCCTATGAGATAGGTTCTCCAGTTTGCCAGTCTCTACCACTCCGTTCTCTCTCACGGGTTGCTTTTCTCATGTGTATTACCCGTCCGCATTTTAGAGGTGACTGGTTCTGTGACGCTAGCCTAAATCTGGTGTTAGAACATGCTAGACCTGGGATCGCTGAGGGGAGATGGTGTAAGAAACCAAAGGAAGCAATCAGCGGGCTCCAAGAGCAGAACGTCTTTCTATTCATGGTGGTCCTACTAAGTGTCGTGAGGCCTCCAGTCCTGTCCGCCTCTGGTCTTCCTGACCTGTCACCATCCATCACAGCCTCACCCACACGCTCTTACAGTCTCTCCCTGTGAGCCCTGTGTCAACATTGCAACATCTTTCATCCTTGGGAAAAGTCTAGGAGCTAAAGGACATCCGCCTGGCAGGAAAGGTCGGCTGGAAGCCCGAACAGATTCCCCAATAAACGTTCTAGTCTTTCCTTGTCTTACAACCCAGGGAGTCAACACGCCAACCTCTCCTTGGCCTCTGGGGGTAAGCCCTTCACAGCATGCTATCGTCTTCCTCCTAATTATCTTCAAACAGCAGAACATGGGCCTCGTCACTCTAAACTATGATCATAATTAGGCCATTAGGCCAACATTTATCTAAAGAGTCTCTTTATCTATCAATTGGCAAATGAACAGACCCCCGGGGAAGAACGATCCCTTTTGTGCATCGGAAGCTGCATCCATGGTGAGCACGGAGTGAGAAGCAGCAGTGGGTGCTCTAGTCCAGACTCTGCAGTTACTGCCTCGTGATGTTGGGAGAAAGTCACTTACCTCCTGTGTGTGCCGGTTTCTCCAGCTGTTTAAAAATGAGTGGTTTCTGACACAGTTACCCACAGGGTTCTGAGGATTTGCTGAGACAGTGGCCAGGAGTCACTGTCCAAATGGGAGATCCTAGCACTCGAAGACCCCCATCTGTCTAATAAAACAGCACCTTGCTTCCTGGTGTGCTTCATGCCATCTCCACACACTTGTCTCAGGATTCTTAAACGACCTGGAGTCAGGGATTCTCCAGGCCACGTGGCTGCAAAGCGAGATGAAAACCCGGGTCTCCTGACCCCAAGAGTAGGGTGTTCCGTCATACGTCCATGGGGGAAAGACCGTCTCTGCCAGGCCCCCCAGGATCAGAGGGGGCAGAGGTGCTTCTGCTCACGCTCTCTGCCCACATCTTACCCACTGACGTCACCCCACGGATCTTTCCAGGGCAGAGGGTGCCAGGGCATTTCTTTTCTGACCAGAAAAGGTTCTGTCAGTGCCAGGAAGCTTCTGAGAGATGATGCGTCTCTGTTGGGGGGCCCGGCTAGATTACTTCTTCTCCTTTTTGATGCCAGATGGTTTTTTTCTGAAGGAAGAGAGAAGAATGGCTGGTTAGCGCAATGGAGATGAGGTGTTGGCACTCTCTGCGATGGCAACAGCTTAAACCCAAACCCTTTGCCTTCAGGAGAGGGCCCCTCCCATTCTTACTCTCACCATCCTCCCCAAGGGCTTGTAACCTCTGAAGACAGGCAATGCCTTTCTGAGCAAAGAGCTCCCAAGTGCCTGGCTTGTCTTCCAGGCACCAGCGCTGGCCCATGATACCTGGGGAGCTCCAAGCCCCACTGGCCTTGCAGCAGGTCTGAGAAGGTAGAATGGCTGGTGAGGAGGCAAGGCCCGCCCGCCATTCAGAGAGCCTGCTGTCTGTAACCTTGACTTTCAAGCAGCTCTTTGGCACTGGTTTCTATGACCCCCTGGGGACTCCCCCAGAGCCTTAATTTAGCATCAGCCCCACGTTGATGCTCTTACAGAAGCGAGGATGAATCAGATTGTGACAGGCTCAAATCCTTTCTGCTCCTATCGCCAATCTCCTGCCAAGCAGAACAGCTCCTCTTTCTTTCCCATCTTAGGTCCTTCTCCCGGAGCACTGGTCTATTGGGGGAGCTAATAAAAGGCCACTTGGGTTGCTCTTCCTCCAGCAATGGTGTTCTACTGGAAGCTGGATCAAGGCTTCAACTTCCTCGAGGGCCTGTCCTAATGGAGGTGGGTGAGGACACCCCAGGCCTCTCTGGAAGCGGCAAGCTCAACTTCTTGGTTCTATATGCCAAGGGGTGTCAGGAGGTGGAGCTAGGTCTCTGGGAAGTTTCTCCCCCGTCTCCCATGGTGCACTTGGACAGAGAAGCCCAGCACCAAAGAAGAGGACTTCCAGCTGGTGCCTACCCTAAGACAGGAAACAGCTGCATGGAGGAGACGGTATGTCCTGTCTGGGTCAGGTTGCTTGTCGATGAAGCTAAAGACAAATGCAGAGAAAAACTGCATCAGAACTCAGGGCAGAGGCCCTCCCTGGAGGCCAGCCAGCCAGGGAGGCATCCCAGGACCAGAGAAGGAGTTGGGAAAGTGATGAAGCAGCAACGCTCCAGGGACAGTCAGGAGACCTGGGTTGGATGCTACAGTTTTTGGGTTTTTTTTTGTCCTAGGAGACATTTCATCTGGGTGCACAGATCATGAGCTCAACCTCACTGACCCGGGGAAGTAAAACAAGGAGCTGAGGCCAGATAAGCTCTAGAAACACCAAACTTTTAGGGCAGTTTGGGCCCTATGGCTCCTGGGCAGTGTTCCATAATCACCTCCCCACTAAGCAATGAGGGGACATTTCAGAGAAGCAGAACCTCCAACATGGAAAGAGAAGCTGCCGATGGGCAGAAAGGAAAGGTTTGTTGGGAAAGACCATGTGAGAACCAAGGCAGTTTTCCTGGGATTGACTCCGAACGGCTGGAGATGGGAAAGGGAAAGGATATGACATGGACCCAAGATGGGAGTCTAGGACCGGAGTGCCCATTACAGGGATAAGGAGATCAGTAGCAGAAGCCTCCAGGAAGCAGGAGGTATGGGCTAAAGTGCCATTGAAGCAGCAGGTGCTCTGAGAGGGAGGGGAAAGTAGCAAGTGGGACATCATCATCACTGTTTCTTAATGAAGATGACACAGCATGCCTGGAAATGGGCAGAGGAGCCAGCAGAAATATCGGGAAGCTTCAGCTACTGCCTTTAAAGGGCTATAAAAGATATGATTATTCTAATGAGAGCTGGCATGGGGCCCTGGCAGGATAGTTAGGAGACCCGCTTCTCACTCCATCCTCACCACTCACAAGCTGTGTGATCCTGAGCAAGTCATTTCATAATTTGGGGGCCTCAGTCTCCTCCTGGCCAATAAGGAGATGGGCCAAGCTGGCCTTAAGGTCACCCTCTCATTGAGTAGTGGGCTTTTGATATCCATGGGGTTCCAACTCCAACTCACAATTCTGGACTGAACTTGCTATTGCATCTCGCTGCTGAGGCCGCAACCACTCGATACCTCTGAGCAAGGAGAATCTTAAGATGGCATGTTCTCCTGGGGAGGCAAGAGGGGGAGCATTGAAAGCCTTCATAGCAATACCCAACAAAAGAAAGCATTCCAAGTAAGCAAGAAAGCTCCTGTTTAACACTCCTGGGATTACAGGATGCTAGCGATAGAACATTTTCTAAATCCAAATGTCTGTATCTTAGATCAGGGGTCCGAGGCCTCAAGAGGGAAAGCGAGAGTCTCAAGATGCCTCAGCTCCTACAGGATGACTTTCCGGGCCTAGAACCCAAGTGGCCTGACCCCTTAATGCAGGGCGTCCTGCCGACCCCCTTCTGACTTCTGACATCAGAAAAGATGTAGGGATTTACTTCCGTGGAGCGCATCTCCTATGCCCTCGGAGTGAGCATCACTGGCCCACCCTGCCTGCCCACCTCCCTCTCCTTTTCCTTTTGCTGTCGCCTCCTCTCTCCCTACCCTCATGCTCATCCTACATAAGCCCTTGCACCTGCAGGAACATTGTCGCCCATACACTGAAAAGATAGCCAATTGGTGTCTGCGGATGTGGCATTCCACAGGGCAGAGACCAGGAGGGGGCGCCGGCCTCCTGGACCACAGGGTGGCTGCAGCCAGGGACAAAGATAATTTGTTTCCTCCTGAGGTGAGGGCACCTCTCCAGGGGTCCACGGGGCAGGACCAGGGCTCTGTAGCCAGAGTTGTTCCCCAGAGATGGATTTAAGTCTCCAGGGCCCCAAAGAAAGGGGTGGCACGTTTGTGTGTGGGCTCTAGGGTCGGGGCAGGAGTGAGCATCTGGGGAAAGGAACACGAGCATCAGCAGGTAGGAGCTGAAACAGCGTGCCCAGCTCCATCCTGGGAGGGCCGGCTGCTGTTTTTAAAACTCCTGTCCTATCCCCACATGTTGTTCTGCAGCTGGTACTGTCCCCAGGTGCACAGAACTTTGGTTCCCAGAACTTTCCACCCAGCCCTGCCTGCCCTTGCCAGGTACTGCCCTGTGCACCCTCCTCCCTCTCTCTAAAATGCCCCTTCGCTCAAGTACTGATCTCAGCGCATGTATTGGGAAAGGGACTGAGCTAAACTGCTCTGTGAAAAGAAAACAGGTGTATGTGTGTCTTCAAACACAGTTACCTATAAATATATGAATAACATAACATAAATACTATATGAATAATATGATTAACAATATATTAATAATATGTAAATCTCTCAAAATCACAGCACCCAGAGATACTCTTATTAACACTCTATTTCTAAGTTGTTCCCCATGTTTTCATAAAAATCATACATGTGCATAAAGATCTAAATGCATATAAAATCATACTCTACATCCACATCTCCATTTTCTCACTTAACACTATAACCGTTTTCACCCAGAGATACTCTTATTAACACTCCTTTTAAGCTATTCCCCATGTTTTCATAAAAATCATACATATGCATAAAGATCTATATGCATATATATATATAGAGAGAGAGAGAGTCACCACAATAAAATCATACTCTATATCCAGATCTCCATTTTCTCACTTAACACTATAACCGTTTATGGAGCTCCATGTCCCCACCACGGAGGCTGTGAACCGTGTGCCCAGAGGCACCCTGGGAGGTAATGCCGGGGAGCCGCCCATGGGGTGGGTGGGGGACCTTCCTGCCAGCACCGATCGCCACAGATAACAGACTTGAATGCTTCTCCGTGGGCCCAGTAATGAGATGCCCATCCCACCAGCAAACACCCTGCTCCTGCCTCAGTGTGCTACCTGGCTCAGCGAGGGGCCAGGACAGGCAGGATGCTGGGACTTCCTTCTGGGACCTCCAGTGAATGGAGTCTAGAAAGGACCTGCTGTTCCCCACCCTGGTGTACCCCACCCTGGTGTGTTCCCCTGAACATCAGACTCTCAGATCCCATCTAACTCCACCTGGTGCAGCCAGAGCATCTGGCTGGCCTCCCCCAGGTCCCGATGAACGACCCCTAGTTGGCATCCTGTCCCTTACTGAGGACCTGGACCCCCTCTCCTCATTCCCACAGTCCTGCCCTGGAGGAAAGCCTGGCTCCTCTCAGGAGCTCAGACTTGCACACGCACTACAACCTGAGAACGGCCGCTCCCTGGAAGCCCTCACAACGCTCCCCAGCTCTCCCTCCTTGGCCCTGAGCCCTGGCTCTCCCCAGCCTGTCCGGAGAGTGGAGCCCTTGGAGGTGTCTTGGCTTTCTTTTCTCTCCTGCTTTGGCTCTGGTGGTCTTGACTGCTGCCCTCCTTCCTCCTCCCCAAGGCACATTCCACCCAATCACAGTGGGTTTCTCCCATTCCACTTGCTAAACTGGGTCTCCCTCCAGTCATGGACCTCCCAATACGCCAAGGATGCATTCTTTTAAAAAAATATTTTCTTCTTGATTTCTCAGAGGAAGGGAGAGGGAGAGAGAGAGATAGAAACATCAACGATGAGAGAGAATGGTTGATTGGCTGCTTCCTGCATGCCCCACACTGGGGTTTGAGCCTGCAACCTGGGCATGTGCCCTGACTGGGAATCAAACCATGACCTTCTGGTTCATAGGCCAATGCTCAACCAGTGGCTGGGCCGAGGATGCATTCTTTATGGTGCTTGAGAGACCAAGATTCCTGGTTTTTAACCCACTTACCAAGGCCCTGAACCACTCTGAACCTCAGTTCCCTCATCTATAAAATAGAGACAATAATACTTTCATCACCCACCTCACGGGGTTGTTGAGAGGTTCACCTGAGATAACAGATGTGGACACGGTTGTAGGATATAAAAATCTTCATAAATATATAGGAAAGCGAGTAAAGAACCAGCTGCCTGAGGATCAGGACTCGAGCCTCCCTGAGGCACCCCTGTACTTCGTTAACAGGATGCTGGAGCGCTGACTCCAGACAGAGCGGCGAACACCCCCAGGGGTTGCTGATCCCCCAGGAAGCTTCGGGACCCATTTGCATTTAGTCCTGGTTAGCAGGCGGAGAATTCAGTCTAGACGTGAGTGCTAGATAACAACTGGTGCTCAGAAGGCTCAACTGGTTATCTTGACCTTAGATTTTTTAAAAAATTTATTTCAATCTTGTATTGCATAATTTATCTTAGGAATTTAAAATGGAAGGTTGGTGGTTGGTAAGCCACCTTAACTTCTATTTTAAGAAAGTAACTTGTGTGTGAGGGGGGATGGGGAGGGGAAAGGGAAACCCCTAAGAGCTGGAATCACAATAATAATCTAAACATCCCAAACTAGCCTGGTCTGGGGCCACTTCAGCCAGTTGTCCTGTAGTCTCTATCACCCAGGGTGTTGCCATTCACGATGTGGAGGTGTGGGCTGGGGCCATGGTGAACCACAGGCCAGGTGAGTAACCAGCTGGTAGAATTTAGGGGACAGGTTAGGAACCAGGGGGCCCTGGTCACATTTGTTCCGTGGATTTTGTCTTTCTTCCAGTTTCATTTCTGGCCTTCCCAGCTTCTTCCCCAGGTTTTAGGTTTGAGTTGGTAGCCACCTTTCCTACTTTAACCTGGGAGATAGGACCTAAGAACTTGAATTTCTAGCTTCTCTAGAAAATGGAAATATCTAGCAACTGAGCCCCTACTGGTAATTATGGGATGTGGGCATAGCAGAGGCAAACTCTCCTGGCTCCCTGCCCCCAGGAGGCTCCCTGCGCATGGGGACAGTGTGTCAGCCTTGACAGGCTGCTCCCAAGTAGCTGTGGTCCGTGTCACCCTGAGGTGAGGAGCCCACGCCGAACACACCCTAAGAGCCTGCTATTCCTTTCCACTCCCCATTCCACCCAGGGAGTGTCGGGAGCCAGGCGTCCCGGTCCCCAGTCTCACTGGGCGTCCCATCCTCTAACTCAGTGCTCAGCGTGAGCGTGTGAGGGACAAAGCGTAGTGAGCAGGAGGGGACACACAACTGGAGCAGAGAGCTATGGGAAGACAGGAGACTTTCTAGCACAGTGGTTCTCAACCTTCCTAACGCCACGGCCCTTTAATACAGTTCCTCAGGTTGTGGTGACCCCCAATTTCATTGTTACAAATTGAACATCATTAAAGCATAGTGATGCATCACAAAAACAATATGTAATTATATATGTGTTTTCGGATGGTCTTAGGCAACCCCTGTGAAAGGGTCGTTCGACCCCCAAAGGGGTCGCGACCCACAGGTTGAGAACCGCTGCTCTAGCAAGTCAAGTGTTTCCCTGACCTGGGGAGGGGAGGGGTGACAGTTCTACCTTTTCCAGAAGTACATAATGACGGGGAAGAGAGACACGATGGCCCCGTGAAAGATGTTCCGATCCAGGCGGCCCTCGGCAATGGCAGAGATGATGGCATCCCTCTGGGTCTCAGTGATGTTCACCTACCCGCAGAGTGGGAGCCCGTCACTGGCAGAAAACCTCTCTTGGGCCCCACAACCTTGAAGATGCCCCCTCCCCAGAGGGCAGAAGCTTTTCTGGGGGCTGCTAGGTCAAGGATATCCGGCCGACCCAGGACTCAGCTTTCAGGGTTTTTGTGGGAAAATGCTCCTTGGGACAAGGCCAGAGAGGAGCGGGGGTCCCCCTTACCCTCAGCCTCGGAGGGACCTCGGACTGCAGGTAGAGCTTTAGGATGATGTTGATCTTGGACTTCATGAGGATCACGTCATTCTCGTTATAGGCCCAGCTGACTTGAAGCACATGAGCGGAGCTCACCAAATCGTTAAACCTAAAGAGAGGCAGGAAGTAGGAAATCAGCCAAGAGGGAAGCGGTGGCGACTGAGGGCAGCCAGCCCACACCTATTTTTGGTCTAAAAGAGAGGGGGCCAAATCCTGGCCAGGTTGTGACTTCATTCATTCAGTCACAATCCATCTATCGGCAAACAGGAATTGAGTGCCTTCCACATGTCAGATGACATGCTAAGTCCTTCCTCAAGTGCATGTCTTCATCACTAACTCCTTTATTAACCCCATCCTCCCGTCCTTACCCATCAGGCCCTCTGCCTGCTTCGAGGGCTAAGTGCTATCTTGCTCTTTCTTTCCCCTCCTGTGCTGACCCTCTCACAATTACCACCAGTCTCTGAAGCAACATATTCCTTTTATTAATTTTTTTTTTTTTACTATTGTAAGATATACATAACATAAAATGTACCAGTTTAACTGTTTTTGCAGTGGCATGAAGTACGTCCAACATGGTTGTGTGATCCTCACCACCATCACCTCCAGAGCTTTCTCATCTTCCCAAACTAAAACTCCTTGCCCATTAAACACTGTCCCATTCGCCACCTCCCCCAGCCCCTGGCAGCCACCACTCTACTTTCTGTCTCCTAGCAACATACGCTTTCAGTGACCCTCACATATTTGTCAGTTACACCTTATGTTGATGTAAGCACACAGCTGACTTCTCCCAGGCCATTTAAAATTGTAACAATTTAAAGTCTTCCTAATAGTAGAACACCAGGTTTTCCCATATCCATTCCATTCATGTATTCAGACAAGGAATATTTTAATTCAGGGTTTCTGCTGTGCCAGACACAGTTCCAGGAGCAGGGACTCAGCAGGGACTTATCAGGGAATAAAATAAACAAAGGCCGGCTTTCCAGGAGCTCATAGTCAATGAAGGAAGAAGACGGACAAGTGAATAGGTGATTAATGAAATATCCAGAAGTTATGAAGACAGAAAAAGGGCATGATTTAATTGGGAAGGGAGCATGCACTGAGACGGAACAATGAGAAAAAGACAGTCATGTGAAGCCAGCTTGGTGGGCGGGGAAGGGCAGAGGTGGGGGCGGAGCCTCTGAGCTGGAGCCTGGGGCAAGTGGTTGGTGAAGGGCAGGAGCTGAGCTCTGAGATGCAAGGGGGTATATCCTGCTTGCATAAAGCCATTTAGGCCATGGGAGGAGGTTTGGACTTGATTCCCGTGGAAATAGGAAGCCGCTGGGTCATTTGGGGCAGGAGGGTGCTCTAATCTGGTTGACACTGTTCACAAGCTCTCTGGTTGCTGTGTAGCCAACAAGTGAGAAAGCAGAGCGGGAATTGGAGAGGCAGACGGGAGGCTGTTCACCCGGACTGGTATTCCTTTCTGTTCCCCACTCACCTCTCCCTTATACAGATTTTTTAAAAAAAAATTCTCACTAACCCCCTCCTCATTCTTCAAACTTCAGCTTAGGTGACTTGTCTGCCATGAAACCACACCCGCGGGCTCAGCTGTCTAAATGCACTTCCTGACTCTACCATAGCATCACACGTCCTAACTTGGTGTCCTTCTGGCCATCCCTCTCTCTGTGGGATCGTGGAGGACGGAGAGCATGTCTTATTTGTACTTTGTGGATCTCCAATGCCAAATCCAGAGCCAAGAATAATCAAGCAATCTATAGGTGTTTGTGGAACTGGGCCTGGTCCCTCCCCGAAGTGCAGTGGAAAAGCTCTTAACTCTAATTGATGCTCCGCGCTTCCGAAAAACACAGCGGCAAGTTGACTCCATACGCTGCTGGTACCTTCCTTGTACAAGCTCACACTTTCCCCGCTAGCCAAGACAGGCATTTACTGGAAGTTCTTCGTGCTTCTTCCCAAATATTCTTGCCTATTGTACTTGTTACTATAATTCATCATTTATGAAAACTAACAAAATACAAACGTGAAAATAAAGGTATTCGTTGTTTCTGTGAAAACAGATTGGAATGCTTTGGAATATTCCAATAAAGGTCGAGTTGCTTTTTAAAAAATTGCTATGGAGTTAGGTATAGCAAGGCGATTACGAACATGTAAAAGGTAAGTATAAAAATCCGGAAGGCTTAAGTTGCTTTGCAGTAACCTTTAAGTTCTTGCTCCACTTTATTTATTTATTTTAGTATATTTTATTGAGTTTTTTACAGAGAGGAAGGGAGAGGGGTAGAGAGTCAGATACGTCGATGAGAGATAAACATCAATCAGCTGCCTCCTGCACACCCCCCACTGGGGATGCGCCCACAACCCAGGCACATGCCCCTGACCAGAATGGAACCTGGGACCCCTCAGTCCGCAGGCCGATGCTCCATCCACTGAGCCAAACCGGTTAGGGCTCTTGCTGCACTTTGACAAGAGAACAATTTTTAGAATTAGTAGATAGCATTATAGGCATAGTATATACAAGAAAAATATGTGAGCCCCCAATTAGTGGAATGGCTTTGGCTTTACATCAAAAGTTTGGCAGCTGAGTGAATGCACATTTATATGTTTTAACTTAAAAATATCTGTTAATTGTCATATACACACCACCTTCATTATTATAGTTCCTTGCTTTAACTAAAGAACTTCTGGTCCAGCCCTGACCGGGTAGCTCAGTTGGTTAGAGCGTTGTCCCAATACTCCAAGGTTGTAGGTTCGATCTCTGATCAGGGCATATACAAGAGTCATCCAATGAATGTTTAACTAAGTGGAACAATAAATCAATATTTTTTTCTCTCTCTCAAATCAATAAATTAAAAAAAAATAACTATTAGTCCAATACATAAGAGGATTTCTATCATATTACTAAATAATAGAACAAAAGGGTTCCACATCCCAGGTATAAGTAAGTGCATTTCAATATTTGGAACTCCAGAATATTAAAGAGCTTTCAGGATGAAAAAGGAAAAAATGGTGGAAATTGATACAGTGACAGCATTCAGTGAGGTTTTCACAGAAATCACTGTGCCAGTCTTTGCCAGGAGGCACTAAGCATGAAAAGCCACAAGGGGGAAGGCGAGATGGGAAACTTACCTCTCCATTTCAGAAAAGAAATATAAATCACTGAGGGCAAAGTTGACAGTGATAACCCTGTGGCCAAATATACGGCGCTTCATCAAGATTATATCTCCATTCTCGTCTGCACTCCGGACATTTGAGTGATGTGGGGATGGGCGTGCTGGTACATTTGGTGATGCAGGGTAATCTGAAAAAGAAAGCGGAAGGAATTAACATCTAGCTTGAGCAAGTCCCTCTTAAGCCTGAAGCCTTCAATCTGGGCATAATTAAAGTGAAAGACGACGGACACACCTTTGGGCCTACTGAAATAGTGACTGCCTCCCATTGGGTTCGACCTTTCACTTGGACTTGAAGGACTGCTGGAAAAGCCATCCGCTCAGATGGCATGACAACATACATACCAAAAAGAAATCAACCACGTATTGAAAGGCGCCTTCCTGATGCTGGTGTAATAGAGATAGGAGCGCACTGTAATTATGCCCATCCCTAGCAGGGCTGCAGAAACTGAACACTGCAGAGGTGACCTTCAAAGTACAGTGTGTGGTTCTGATGCTGCTTATTCGAGGTTCATCAGGGAAGTAGTTTAGAAGTAAACTAGGAAAGAAGCACAAAGGAAAAGCCAAAACAGGAAGGGTAAAGAAGTTAAATAAGAAGCAGAGGGTAGGAAGCTAGAGTAGAAACATGACAGGAATGAATAGAGGAGAAGATCCTTCAAGGTTTGGGTTGTGTGTCAGAAAACCAAGGCAGTTATTTTAGCAAGTCTCTTGATGAGGATATATTCAAAGAAACCCACTCATAGGGATTCAGGGCTTAGGAGAGAACAGTGTTGGGCTGGATCTGACAAGTAGGCCCTAGTTCATTGCCTGGCTGGGTTTACCAGTAAGCAGCTGTCTAGTCCTAGTGGGATTTGTTCTGATGGAAGCGTGACTACAATATTCAGTAAATACCTCTCACTTTCTGTGTCCCAGACACTGTGCTAGGTCCTAGGGTTACAAAGCATAAGGTCTCTCCCGACTATCTTACAGTCTCTCTTTCTCTGTCTTTGAGACTTGCATTTGAAGGGAAAAAGAGTTTGAATAACAGTGGAAATTGATATGATCGTCAGGGATTTTAGGAAAGAGCGTGCCAAATCCACCCAAGAAATATGGATGCAGGGGCAGGTTGACAAGTCTTCTCTGGTACGGGTTGGGCAGATGTGATCTGTATTATTTGCCTATTTCTATAACAAATGCTCCCACCATGGTTGATTTCAATCTATCAATGGTTTGTCAACCAGCTCACAAAATACCTAAATGCTTAACAATTGGCTTTCAACTGGGCTAAGGTCATAACGGTGGATTTTTTTTTTTTTTTAAGCAAGAGCCAATTATATGCTGGCTACAGGAAAAACACTTTCAATGTAAGGCTTTAAATAGGTCATAAGGAAAGGAATGGAAAAAGTCACATAGGCTAACACTAATAAAATGTGATAGTGGCTATTTTAATATCAGGCAAAGTACATTGCAGAGAAAAGAATATTACTCAGGATAAAGAAGGTCCTTTCATAATGAGAAATGGGTCAATCAATTGGAGGACATAATTCTGGAAAAGACTGTAGTGGTGGACCACTGGTCGGGCAGATCTCCTGTGGAGGTGCAGGAGCGTCTTTTTCTTGGGCTCCCATACAATGCTGGGGATGTAGGAAGTCAAAAGAAGGTGAAACTGGACTTCCTACATCCTGGGCATAAGAGGTTGAATTGATTTTACTTAAAAGAAGGAACAAAAGAGCTAGAACTAATTTTTTAAAATATGTTTTTATTGATTTTTTAGAGAGAGAGGAAGGAAAAGGGGGAGAGAGAGTAACATTGATGTGAGAGAGAAACATGGATCTGCTGCCTCCTGCATGCCCTCTATTGGGGATCAAGCATGTCCCCTGACAGGGAATTGAACTGGTGACCTTTCGGGGCATGGGTCGATGCTCATCCAACTGGGCCACACCGGCCACGACTAGGACTATTCTTAAACCCTAAATGTTTGGTTGTGAAGCAGTCCATAAGACACACATACAAAAACTTTTTGCAAGCTAGGAAATACAATAATAATACTACAATTCCAATAGAAAGATAGACAAAGGACATGTAAACAGTTCAAAAAGAATACAAATGACCAATAAATTAAGGTGCTCAAATACTAAAAAAATGTACATAAGAATTGTACATTGTTTTTCATCTACCAGACTGCCAATTTCTAAAAAAATGTATAAGAGCCCATGTGGGTGATAATGTGGCCTTCATTTATACTCTTGGTGAGAGTTTAATTAGTGCAGTGATTTTAGAAGGCCACAACTGAACTATTTTTTAACAATTTACCATTACTTCCATTTTTAACCCCTTCCCCGGCAGAAACGTGTATTTCTATGCTGCCTGCCTAACTCACTCATCTCTGAAACTCAACCTTATGTCATTTTTGGTACGTTTCTCTCCTGATCCTCCTCCTGGACTAATTAGGGTCTCCCTGCAATCATCAATAGGATCACTCATCACAATGTATAATAATAAAAGTATAATATGCTAATTAGACTAGACAGCTGAACAACCTTCTGGATGTCATTAC